TTCACGCTGCAGCGGGTGATTTTTATTACCTCTGTAACAAACACGTGTATGCATGGCTCATGACCCGCGAGTGACCCCGATATGACCGGAAATACTTCAGCGCGGGGTTTTCGATTGTAAAAGGTAAACATGTCAAGTTGCTTTTTGTATCCTCGATCATATTACTTTTTAAAAAACTAGCATTTTTATTGCTTCCAGTCAGAATATTTTAATTTTTTGAAGTGTGAAATATTTTTATTTGGATAATTATAATATCTACATAATAATAAAATCAATTTGAATCCACTGGTTACTTTATTTCTATTTCACTTTATGTTCCCCATTGCTGGAGAAAAGAGGTCAGTGATAGGTAAGTAAACAAATCACACGTGTTTGTCGCGGTGTTATAGCGGAGAGCCTTCACACTGAGTAAACACCGCGACAGCAGCGGGACTGTCCCGCTGCTGTAGCTAGGCGAACCTAGCGATAGTTTGTCGCGGCGTTATCGCGAGGCGGTGTTATCCCGCGATAGTTTATAACGGGTCCGAGCCTTCACACTGAAGACAACACCGCGACAGCAGCGGGACAGTCCCGCTGCTGTCGCGGTGTTTGAGGCCACTGTGAATGGGGTATTATTGTACCGTTTCTTAGTTATTGCAACATTGTTTGGGCAAATGGATGGGTTATGGATGGGTAAAATATTAATATCTTACTCATGTTTTATATTAAATCAGAACTAAATAAATCACCATGTACATTTTGTAATATTGACAAAAAGAAGTGTTTTGAGCTTGTTTAGTGTAGGTAAACAGTTGTATCCTCTATTGAAAACCTGAAGGGGGCGCTGTGCCACTTTCAATCATGGTCATCATTCTAATATCGTCACATGAGCATACGTATCACCTAATTCGTCTAAGTGACGAATTAAAGTCTAGTTATTATTATTATTAGGTGATACGTAACGAAGTCAACGTATCACCTTTTGATTTCGTCAAGATTTTCTTTTTTTTTTTTTATTATTCTTCCTCGAATTTGTTCGCAGGATATCTCAAGACTCAATAAAGCCATTGTTATGAATCTTTCACTGATGATAGGTCTTAGTCTAACTTAGAACTGCGTGACTTTTCAAAGACTCAAAGTCATCGTGACGTCATCCAGGCGCCATTTTGTAAAAATCAACTTATGATCATATCTTCATAACGGAAAGTAATTTTACATTCATATTTATCAAGATTAAGATCAATATCCGTCGGGTCAATTTGAGGTCAATAAATGCGCGCAAAAATCCGCGTACGCGTAGGCGCGCGCGTTAATGCGCGCGTAAAATTTTAAATTGCTCAAAATCGTCTTTAATTTTTTTTGCATACGTTTCAGGCCATTATAAGCATTTCATAAAAAATCACGCAAAACACGCATTTTTGCACGTTTTCGTTCGTCACGGCCGAACGAAAAATAATTTCTCCGCAAAAGCTTTTGACCGAATATTCCTCATATTTTTCCGGAAAATTTGATACCATGTTTAGCTCTTTATCACTATTAAAAACGGAATGAGCGTCCGTTCAAGATAACCGTCCGTACGCGCGATTTTTGTAATACATTGCATATATGGGCAAAAACATGCCTATGAAAAGTCCATTGGGATGAATAGGGATTGCCAATTTTTTTTTTCATATTTAGATAGAGTATGAGTCGGAGGTATGATTTCATATCTCATTTGGCCATTAAGTACATCTTTACGTCATCATAATGGCCTTGGAAGTCAAAAATACAAAATTGCATATTATGACGTCATTGTATTTATGGAAAATGTAGTGTATTTCTCTCAATATTCATCGATTCTCTTTGAAATGTCGATATGTTGTAGATAAGGCAATTCTCTACAAGATCACTTTTCACTAAGTTTCATTTTAATGAGGTCATCATAGTACAAAATTCAGTTAAAGGCCACATGTCAGAATGTTCGTCATTTGCGTGTTATGTCTATGGAAGGTGAATTTCGTTCACATCATGAATCTACATGGCATTCATCTATGAGCACTATCTATCTTATGTGTGCTCTGTTTTCTCCCAAGTTGGGGTATGTTATAGCTGAGACCATGGGCTATAAAAAAGGGTGACTTTGTTTTTTAATCAGATGTTGGGATCATGTTAAAATTTTCGATCGAAAGTTGAAATTGCAAATTTTGAAGGAATCATTAGGTGATACGTAACGAAGTCAACGTATCACCTTTTGATTTCGTCAAGATTTTCTTTTTTTTTTTTATTATTATTCTTCCTCGAATTTGTTCGCAGGATATCTCAAGACTCAATAAAGCCATTGTTATGAATCTTTCACTGATGATAGGTCTTAGTCTAACTTAGAACTGCGTGACTTTTCAAAGACTCAAAGTCATCGTGACGTCATCCAGGCGCCATTTTGTAAAAATCAACTTATGATCATATCTTCATAACGGAAAGTAATTTTACATTCATATTTATCAAGATTAAGATCAATATCCGTCGGGTCAATTTGAGGTCAATAAATGCGCGCAAAAATCCGCGTACGCGTAGGCGCGCGCGTTAATGCGCGCGTAAAATTTTAAATTGCTCAAAATCGTCTTTAATTTTTTTTGCATACGTTTCAGGCCATTATAAGCATTTCATAAAAAATCACGCAAAACACGCATTTTTGCACGTTTTCGTTCGTCACGGCCGAACGAAAAATAATTTCTCCGCAAAAGCTTTTGACCGAATATTCCTCATATTTTTCCGGAAAATTTGATACCATGTTTAGCTCTTTATCACTATTAAAAACGGAATGAGCGTCCGTTCAAGATAACCGTCCGTACGCGCGATTTTTGTAATACATTGCATATATGGGCAAAAACATGCCTATGAAAAGTCCATTGGGATGAATAGGGATTGCCAATTTTTTTTTTCATATTTAGATAGAGTATGAGTCGGAGGTATGATTTCATATCTCATTTGGCCATTAAGTACATCTTTACGTCATCATAATGGCCTTGGAAGTCAAAAATACAAAATTGCATATTATGACGTCATTGTATTTATGGAAAATGTAGTGTATTTCTCTCAATATTCATCGATTCTCTTTGAAATGTCGATATGTTGTAGATAAGGCAATTCTCTACAAGATCACTTTTCACTAAGTTTCATTTTAATGAGGTCATCATAGTACAAAATTCAGTTAAAGGCCACATGTCAGAATGTTCGTCATTTGCGTGTTATGTCTATGGAAGGTGAATTTCGTTCACATCATGAATCTACATGGCATTCATCTATGAGCACTATCTATCTTATGTGTGCTCTGTTTTCTCCCAAGTTGGGGTATGTTATAGCTGAGACCATGGGCTATAAAAAAGGGTGACTTTGTTTTTTAATCAGATGTTGGGATCATGTTAAAATTTTCGATCGAAAGTTGAAATTGCAAATTTTGAAGGAATCATTAGGTGATACGTAACGAAGTCAACGTATCACCTTTTGATTTCGTCAAGATTTTCTTTTTTTTTTTTATTATTATTCTTCCTCGAATTTGTTCGCAGGATATCTCAAGACTCAATAAAGCCATTGTTATGAATCTTTCACTGATGATAGGTCTTAGTCTAACTTAGAACTGCGTGACTTTTCAAAGACTCAAAGTCATCGTGACGTCATCCAGGCGCCATTTTGTAAAAATCAACTTATGATCATATCTTCATAACGGAAAGTAATTTTACATTCATATTTATCAAGATTAAGATCAATATCCGTCGGGTCAATTTGAGGTCAATAAATGCGCGCAAAAATCCGCGTACGCGTAGGCGCGCGCGTTAATGCGCGCGTAAAATTTTAAATTGCTCAAAATCGTCTTTAATTTTTTTTGCATACGTTTCAGGCCATTATAAGCATTTCATAAAAAATCACGCAAAACACGCATTTTTGCACGTTTTCGTTCGTCACGGCCGAACGAAAAATAATTTCTCCGCAAAAGCTTTTGACCGAATATTCCTCATATTTTTCCGGAAAATTTGATACCATGTTTAGCTCTTTATCACTATTAAAAACGGAATGAGCGTCCGTTCAAGATAACCGTCCGTACGCGCGATTTTTGTAATACATTGCATATATGGGCAAAAACATGCCTATGAAAAGTCCATTGGGATGAATAGGGATTGCCAATTTTTTTTTTCATATTTAGATAGAGTATGAGTCGGAGGTATGATTTCATATCTCATTTGGCCATTAAGTACATCTTTACGTCATCATAATGGCCTTGGAAGTCAAAAATACAAATTGCATATTATGACGTCATTGTATTTATGGAAAATGTAGTGTATTTCTCTCAATATTCATCGATTCTCTTTGAAATGTCGATATGTTGTAGATAAGGCAATTCTCTACAAGATCACTTTTCACTAAGTTTCATTTTAATGAGGTCATCATAGTACAAAATTCAGTTAAAGGCCACATGTCAGAATGTTCGTCATTTGCGTGTTATGTCTATGGAAGGTGAATTTCGTTCACATCATGAATCTACATGGCATTCATCTATGAGCACTATCTATCTTATGTGTGCTCTGTTTTCTCCCAAGTTGGGGTATGTTATAGCTGAGACCATGGGCTATAAAAAAGGGTGACTTTGTTTTTTAATCAGATGTTGGGATCATGTTAAAATTTTCGATCGAAAGTTGAAATTGCAAATTTTGAAGGAATCATTAGGTGATACGTAACGAAGTCAACGTATCACCTTTTGATTTCGTCAAGATTTTCTTTTTTTTTTTTATTATTATTCTTCCTCGAATTTGTTCGCAGGATATCTCAAGACTCAATAAAGCCATTGGGTGGTATTCTGATAGCGCGTACTAAGTTAGTCTGAGACTAAAGTCCAGATTAGCGGCGTATTAACTTGCGAACTTAAGCTAGGCTTAACTTTCGGTATTCCGATAACAGTTTTCACCTTGACCCCGAACTAAAGTGCGAACTAAATCCCCCACTTTTTAGTTTCCCGCAGGGGGTAGTTTAAGTCTAGACTAAATGCACACTAAACATGGCGTACCAGCTTGATTTTCTGCGACAAAGAGATCGCTATGAAGAGTTGATGAGAAGACTAGCTCCCGAACGTCCCGTAATAGTGGAGAGAGGGGACCCGTTTCACATCTATAACGATTTTGAATTTGTCAAGCGATATCGCCTATCAAAACGCACGACTTTACTCGTTATCGATGATATCGCAGACAACCTCAGAAGGCTTCGATCGGATGGAATACCCGTTCACATTCAGCTACTTACTGTATTGAGATTTTATGCTGTGGGTAAGTTCGATCAGTCTTTACGTTTTGTACATTTTGATAGACTAGTCTAGTCTAACACTATAGATTAGAATTGTTATTTAAAAGATACCCAAATTTATACATGTTCTTCCTGTGGTTGGTTTTGTGTGGTTTTTTTTAACACTCCTATGAAATCAGACATCCAAATAGCAAGATTGAACTTTGAAGATGTGCGGCACGGCATTTAATTTGTAATATCCGTCTAGCCTGACCCTCCCGGCGCGGCAGCGTGTGTTAGCCGTCATGCGATGCAATCATGCACGATCACGAGCAATTCGTGTATTCTGGGTGACTGGCATGCAGAAATGCAGTGGAAGCTAAAACAACTGTGCATGGTCCTGTTCCTTTACTTTTATTTTGCATATTTTTTTTGTAGTGTTTGTAATAATTGTAACGTGACCTTGGCCACTCTGTCGGATTATGAGACTGAGAATTTTCTTTATCAGGCAGTGCATGCAGCTCTTACTTCAAAGACATCTTGTCTGCTCATGCTAGATCTAGACCTCTAGATCTAGATCTATACCGTAATTTCTGTCTTTTTCGTTCGTTAGCCTCTGATTTGGGTAAGGTCTGCTCCTCTTAAAGAACGAAAGAGACAGAAATTTCGGTCTAAGGCCATGTAAAAAAAAAGTCCCCGCCCGCTTCCTTTTGGGGGGCCGACTCATATTTATTTAAAAAAAATTTTTTAAAGAAAAAAACATGAAAAACACTGCGAAAATGGATCTAGATCTAGATCTATTTCTGATTTAACTCTTAAACTGCCCCCATACAATTCACCCAGTGCCACAGTGCTAATCCCTATTGTGCCAGCTACTAATCTCCTGTGTGCCAAGTTAATTTAGGGTTGGTTCAATTAGCGTGTTTACTTATGCACGAAAATGTGTACGTGGCAAGCGAGCGAATGAGAGTTTATGTGTGCATGGCAAGTCACCAGAAACCCGATTATGTGAGCGTGGCACACCAGCGCATGCACGGAACAGTGTTCTTGGCACGCTATGAGTTTTAAAAAAAATAAAAAAATGTCGGCGGCCATCTTGAAAATAGCCTGACTGTGAGGGAAAATGTACCGAGCGGCCAAAAGAAAAAAAGGAAAAAAAAAGGGCCTCCTCCCTATTTTTCAAAAAAACAGGGCACTAAACATTTTTTCTGTTATCATAACATACAGTAATCTTAATTGGTATCAAATAGCAGGCACGTAGCCACTGGGGGAGGGGGGGGGGTCACATGCCCCCCAATTTTTTTCCAAGATCGATTGAACTTTTTGTAGACTCCTCCCCAGGACGTCGATCAATTACATGTATGTGCCCCCCCCCCCCCCAAGCATCAAACTCTTGCTACGGCCCTGATTTGGTGGGCCACAAAAATTGTGAAATCAATTCCGCGGGCAAATGAGTAAAATAGGATGTTTTAACAGCAACATTTAACATTGCAAGTGGCACGATAGAAATATGTAGGTCAGTGCCTGTGTCAGTGGTGAATGAGCCAAATTATGATGTTCAAAAACACATTACAATAATTCAACATAGAATTTATTAGAAAGCCAGTTGATAAGGTACCCTATCTTTTAGGAGAAACGCTTTATGAATAGATGCATGCAAGGGAGGGGGGTGGCCTGTAACCCCCCCCCCCCCCCAGTGAAAAAAATACGCGGGGGCTCGGGGCGAATTAGCCCCCAAAATGCCAAAAAGAGCCCCCAAAAGTCTTAAAAGAGCCCTAAAAAATGTGCGTAGAGTTCAATGCAAAACAAATTAAAGATTGTTATTTTCATACTAGCAAGCTTGAAAAGTAGCCCCCGAAATGTTTAAAGTATTTTTTTCCCTGCCCCCCCCCCCCCCACGCACACTTTTCAAGAAAGAAATGATAATTTCTATATTAATAAATTATTGTTTTATTATTGATAATCCATTCTTAAATACTGTTAAAAACTTAAATTGCTTAAATTTACTCAATTTTTGTTCATGTTTTCCCAGGATCGTTCCAGCTCCTGCATGGTGATGAAATAGGTCTATCACAACCTACATTGTCAAAACTCATAGCAGATGTCTCTTCTCAGCTAGCAGCCTGGCGTGGGAGATACATTCATTTCCCAGACCAACTTCATGGCATTCAACAGGCATTCTACGACTACTCAAACTTCCCTGGAGTCATCGGGGCAATTGATTGCACACATGTTCCCATTCAAAATCCTGGTGGAGAGTTTGGTCAAACATTCATAAATCGCAAGAGCAGGTCATCGATTAATGTTCAGGTAAACAAATAAATGATACAGGTCTACTGCTGTTTAATAAAATGTAAGCTATTTCCAGTTATTGGCTTTCCTGGAAATGAAATCACTCATTTTTTTTCAATATTGAATATCCACCACTCAGTATTCAAGACTTTCAAGTGTGATATTTCTCTCTCTTTTTTGGTTGTGTTTACTGAAATGCAGGCAGTCTGTTCATTTGACGGCACTTTGACGAACATCGTTGCTCGCTGGCCAGGTGGAACGCATGATTCCAGGATATTCAGAGAATCAGCGCTGAAACAAAGGCTTGAACAAGAAAGTCATGAGCCCAGGTGGCTCCTCGGTGACAGTGGGTACGTATTTTTTCCTTAGTCCTCAAAATTTGAATTTAAAAAGGGGTTATCATTCATTGTTGTGAGAAATCCTAAGGTTATGGGGACACTTAATTCACTTTACTCTTTAATCCCATACCATTAGAAATCAAATTTTGAATACCGGTAGCTAACTCCTCTGCATCCAACTGGGTTGGGTTTCAAAATGACCACCTGGACATGTAATCATTGTTCCAAAATGCTTGTTTTCATGTTAGTTGATGAAGCTTCTCTGTCCATATATGGTTTTTACTCATTTCCATTGTGAGTTCATCCACAAAGAATAAATAACATCATAGGGGTGTTAATCCATATTGCCTTGTAATTTTATAACCCCCCCCCCCCCCTCATAAAATATTTTTTGTTTAATGTTTGAACATCCGGAACTTTCATTATTTTTTCTCCTGTATTATAGTGTTTTATGAACTTTATTGATCTCTGCTTTATTATTCAAATGGATAACCTTAGAATAAATGGCATATGAAAAGCATACAGAGGATGCAAGTACATATCCTATAAATCCATGATAAATAGATTATAGAGTTTTATCATGGATGTACTTTTTCATTTCTTTATAGATATGCCTCTCAGCCATTCCTCATGACACCTCTTCTACATCCCGGAACGGCATCAGAAGAGCGTTATAACAGAGCACATAAAAGAGGTCGCAATGTGATTGAAAGAACATTTGGCAGAATGAAGCGAAGGTTTCCCTGCCTAAATGGTTTACGTTTGAAGTTGCAAACAACACTTACAGTAATTGTTGCAGTTGCAGTACTGTGGAATATTTCTATTCAGCACGGTGACCCAGAAGTGGATGGAGAAGTGCTGCCTGAAATTCCTGGTGACCATTTGCCTCCCCCTGGTGCTAACAACTTAGAAGGTCAATTGAGAAGGCAAAATCTGATAAGAGAGCATTTTGCATGATTGAGAGAAAACTCATCTGATGACAGTACCCACTATGTACTGTTTCAGAAGCTCAATTCACTCTGCAATACGTTCACCATCCCTTTATTCGCTTTCATCGATTAAAACATATTGGGTGGTGTTCTACTATTTTATAGTTCCTCTAAATATGAGGGATGTTCCATGAAGCTGCTCTTAAGATTTAACTTTGGGTATGAACAACTTCAAGAATGTCTAAAGGTGTTGAAACATAAATGATATTTTCAAAAATGTTCTGTTAGAAATTGTAACCAACTTCCATTGCAATTCTGATCATTCAAAAAAGAAAAAAAAAAAAAACTGTACCAAAACTACTGTTTGCATTAAAGGTAAAGACCAGTATTGGAAATGTCCCAATTTCAAAAAATGAAATGGAAGCTCTTATTACCAATCATGTGAAAGAATATGTTTTGACTAATACATGATGATAGAAATTTTGCCGGGAACCCGCCTACTTATTGATATATTTGGTAAATTAGTTTATCTATTGATGTGTGAGAGATAAACGCATGTGTCGTCCCATATACATCTTTCTGTGTACAGTGCTTGTAACTTAACGAAGACTGGGCCAAATTTCTTATCATTTTGATGATTCCAGAACCTTGCAGTACACACCAATACTTATATGCTAGGAGATCAACCTTTTCTGATCGATTCCACAACGTTTCTTTCACAATGCAATCGTGTGACCATAACTGGTCTTTATCTTTAAAACGATTGGTAAATCATAAATGAAATTATCCACCATCATGTATTTAAACTTCATCATTTTAGAAAAATATATATCTAAAATATATAAGTGCTCATACAATGAAGAACAGCTCAAAAATGCTCAATTGTGTCTGATACGGTGGAATCACAAATCACAGCGCCGCCTATTATCACTAGTGTTTAGTGATGTTTATTACTAGTACCGGTAATGAATTATTTGAAATATTGACAAAAAATAAAAGCTGTGGCATATCAGATTTATTTGAACATTCTTGATGGAGAATGTTAGGAAAGCATATCTGAGGTCAAATTTTTGTGCTTTTTCTAAAAACATCAGTCTAACTGACTGATGACTTACCTACTTATGACTTATGGTAAATTCATTTGGTTGCTGGTATTTTGCTGCGCTGCATCGGTTGGGAGTCGTCAGCCAAAGAGCTGAAAATTTGTCTTGTCACGGCTTGGTGGTTGTGGAGATGTCAATTGTGAACCCACTGTATTATCACATGCCCTCCAAATATTGTTCAAGTCGAGATCCTTTTATACAGAATTGCACAGTATTCATTTGTAATATTTGATAACATGTTTAATCTTACATTCAAAGTGCCAGACATTCAGCAAGGAGTTTTAATGTAACAAATAATTCACAGATGCACAAAGTACACTTCAAGAACTCGAATTATTACCCCTTTAATGTCTATATGAAAGATCAAATGATGCAGTTGCCAAACGAACCAAACACAACTATATTTCAAGTTGGCAGTTCAGTTGGTCCATTTTCTTTAATAGTACTTTCTTCTCGAGTTCGAGGATTTCTACTCTGAGAGAATGTTCTTTCTCCATGTGTTGTATTTTGGTGTTGTGCTCCTGCAGCGCCAAGTCTTTCATCACTTCTTCCAAGGATGACTTAGGATGGGGGGAAGGAGATGGTGTTCTCTCACTTCTCTGTCTCTTAGATTTTGTCCTGAGAAAGTGAAAAATTGATGGTATTTATTTAATTATGTATTTACTTATAAATATATAATTGATAATTTATTAATTCAGTTATTGCTTAATTCAATTACAATGTTTATTGTAGTATTCAAACTGCAATAATTCTGATGTAATTGTATTTGTTTCTTGCCTACATAAATTTATTTATTGTAATTTGTGAGACATTGGTATACAGTTTTAAAAAATGTATAAAGATGATGGAGAATAAAATGTGATTTTTTTTTCCTTATCAATAAATTTGCCATCAAGAGATTCATGATTTTTGTACTAAAATTGCCAATATTATTAACTATGAAAGTTAGTCCTCACCATGGGGAAGGAAGTGCTTGGTTGCTTGTTGATGTTGATGCAGAGTTCCAGATGGAAGGGGTCTCATTAAGAGGATGACTTGGGAGAGAGGGAGTGACAGTGTGTTGTTCTTCCAAGGATGACTCAGGATGGGGGGAAGGAGTTGGTGTTCTCTCACTTCTCTGTCTCTTAGATTTTGTCCTGAGAAAGTGAAAAATTGATGGTATATATTTAATTATGTATTTACTTATAAATATATAATTGATAATTTATTAATTCAGTTATTGCTTAATTCAATTACAATGTTTATTGTAGTATTCAAACTGCAATAATTCTGATGTAATTGTATTTGTTTCTTGCCTACATAAATTTATTTATTGTAATTTGTGAGACATTGGTATACAGTTTTAAAAAATGTATAAAGATGATGGAGAATAAAATGTGATTTTTTTTTTCCTTATCAATAAATTTGCCATCAAGAGATTCATGATTTTTGTACTAAAATTGCCAATATTATTAACTATGAAAGTTAGTCCTCACCATGGGGAAGGAAGTGCTTGGTTGCTTGTTGATGTTGATGCAGAGTTCCAGATGGAAGGGTCTCATTAAGAGGATGACTTGGGAGAGAGGGAGTGACAGTGTGTTGTTCTTCCAAGGATGACTCAGGATGGGGGGAAGGAGTTGGTGTTCTCTCACTTCTCTGTCTCTTAGATTTTGTCCTGAGAAATTGAAAAATTTATCGTATTGTTTTAATTATGTATTTACTTATTACTGATAATTTAGTAATTGAGTTATTGCTTAATTCAATTACAATGTTTCTTGAAGAATAAATGCGATTTGTTTTCCTTATCAATAAATTTGCCATCAAGAGATTCATGATTTTTATACTAAAATTGCCAATATTATTAACTATGAATGGTACTAGTCCTCACCATGGGGAAGGAAGTGCTTGGTTGCTTGTTGATGTTGATGCAGAGTTGCAGATGGTAGTGGTCTCATTAAGATGATGACTTGGGAGAGAGGGAGTGACAGTGTGTTGTTCTTTAGTCTCTTGACGTCCGATGAACTCAGGGTTGTCGTCAGAACTAGTTATAAGAATATAAACATACAACAGTATAAGTAGAAACTATGTGTATCCATTCTTACTGCAACCCCAATACAAATATGTATCACCCTCCCCCCCCCACACACACACACATGTATATACCTCCCCCCCCCCCAAAAAAAAAATAAATAAATAAATAAATAAAAAAAAATTAAAAAAATTAATAAATAAATAAAAATAAAATAAAGTAAAATAAATAAATAAAAATAAAATATTTAAAAAAATAAAAAATAAAGAAATATCTAGTTCATGGCAAATTCATAATTATTTTTTTTCAAAATGTATACTATAATTTCTTTAAGGCCAGATGAGTAATGTGTATTTTGGGCATATAATTCATATCAAATTACAAATGAGAATATGCTTCCTTAAAATAATAAGGGTTATATTCAAGAAATATGTTTCTAGTAAATAATGTAGAAAGATTGCCAGAATTAAAAAAAAAGAAACCCCCATTACCACAACAACAGAAAAAGACAAATAAATAAAAACAGTTAATACAAACAAAACCTGTGATCGATCAAAGCTAACCCATAACGCAGTTGTGCAATTCTAAACTTTTTTCAATTGGGCATTGGCGTAAAAAAATTAAATGACTTATAACAAAAAAAGCTGAGACCAGGTCCATGCGCGCTGAGCTAGCCTATCTCGAGCCCTGGTTCCAACTATTATTTAAGGCCGTATAGGCTTTGAAAATGGATAAATGAAATAAATAAAGCTGAATCCAGGTCAATGCTTAGCTAGCCTATCTCGAGCCCGAGGTCTAACGGTTAAGTCTACATAAGCATTGAACATGGACTTGGTCCTACTGGAATTAGATCTAGGACTAAACTTTTCAGCATGCACGTTCGTACGTACGTGCAGCACCTGCACGGCAATCACAAAGTGTGTGTGTGTGGCCGCTCGCGCTATACGGCGCGCCGTAGCGCGGGCGGCCACACACACGGCGGTCCGTCTAGTCTATATCGTCTACAGTATAAACGCGCTGATGTTTGAGTTGCGAATCGATTCAGATTGTTTTTATTTTTGTATCCGTCAACCAGATTTAATTCGTGATATGAAAAAGTAATGTAGACTTCTACATTAAAAAAAACCTAGCTTGACTAATTGCATGTCTAATTTAATTACATGTAGGTGTCTAGGTCTATTAGATGATGTCTCGTTCAAAGGCTGTTTATTCAGACAATGTGTAGACTAGATCTAGTTTCGTTTATTTAGGAATGTGATTATTTATTTACTTTCATTTCATTCCCTGCTTTCTCTCTCTCTCCCTTTCTCTCGTTATACCTCCCCTTTTCTCTCAGCCTCTCTCTTCCTATCCTTTTCGCTCTATCACTCTCTCCCTTTAATCAGCTATATGCCTTCCCCTACTCTTTTAGTTCCTGCAAGTACATCCTTTCATTTAATGTATATAAACAAGCACAACATAATTATTTGAATTGTCATTATGCTATTGATTTAGATCTATTTACTAATGCTACGCTTTGTAATGAATATACTGCAGGCTACTACTGTACTGTTCGTAAAATGACCTTTTCAGCTTTGTGCTGCTGGTCGATTATTGTATCAATTAATAACATAATAAATAAGTCAAAAATAATAACTTACTAGGTGATTTCGAACTCCTGAGATAGATGTATCACTTTCGCCTGTTTCGGGGCTCCTCCAAGATACTCTAGGGCAGACACTGCTTCATCATTGTATTGCGTCACCGACGCATCGTCATCAAAAGGATTGTGTATCTGCTTGAACTCGTTTGGGATGATGTCCCGCAGGACGGAGGTCATCTGAGAGATTTTTGCCTCCACTTGACCTCCTCCTGTTTTCATTATAGCCTGTCTATAATGGCTCCATTCTGTCTTGGCAGTTTGCTTCATCCTTTTCCACTGTTCCAAACATGATTTTGCCCCCCCTTGTCGAACGTATCGGGCATGAAATTTTTCGGAAATGTCATCCCATGCACTTGATTTGCTCGACACAGTTTCGAAGTCATTCCTCTTGGATTCCACGATATGCACTCTTTCTGAAACTAGTTGAAGGAGACAATTCTTTTCGTCCGCTGTCCAATTAGCGGACCTTGGACCTCTTGGTTTGGAAGTATGTGAAGCCATCTTGGGAGATGAGAGCAGACGATACAACGATAGGCTATAGATCAACTGAGCATGCGCAGTAGAAGCAGACTACATCACCATGGTGAATAATCTGTGGTTGAACATTAAGCTCGGATTAAGATTTAGTCTAGACTTAGTCTGAGGGTTAGCTAGACCTTGCTATCAGAATACCAACAAGAGATAATCTACACTTAGTATGGAGGTCCTGACTAAGTGCTGATTAACTAAGCTCGGGCTAACTTTAGTTTAGAGGAACTAACTATAAAATAGTAGAATACCACCCATTGTTATGAATCTTTCACTGATGATAGGTCTTAGTCTAACTTAGAACTGCGTGACTTTTCAAAGACTCAAAGTCATCGTGACGTCATCCAGGCGCCATTTTGTAAAAATCAACTTATGATCATATCTTCATAACGGAAAGTAATTTTACATTCATATTTATCAAGATTAAGATCAATATCCGTCGGGTCAATTTGAGGTCAATAAATGCGCGCAAAAATCCGCGTACGCGTAGGCGCGCGCGTTAATGCGCGCGTAAAATTTTAAATTGCTCAAAATCGTCTTTAATTTTTTTTGCATACGTTTCAGGCCATTATAAGCATTTCATAAAAAATCACGCAAAACACGCATTTTTGCACGTTTTCGTTCGTCACGGCCGAACGAAAAATAATTTCTCCGCAAAAGCTTTTGACCGAATATTCCTCATATTTTTCCGGAAAATTTGATACCATGTTTAGCTCTTTATCACTATTAAAAACGGAATGAGCGTCCGTTCAAGATAACCGTCCGTACGCGCGATTTTTGTAATACATTGCATATATGGGCAAAAACATGCCTATGAAAAGTCCATTGGGATGAATAGGGATTGCCAATTTTTTTTTTCATATTTAGATAGAGTATGAGTCGGAGGTATGATTTCATATCTCATTTGGCCATTAAGTACATCTTTACGTCATCATAATGGCCTTGGAAGTCAAAAATACAAAATTGCATATTATGACGTCATTGTATTTATGGAAAATGTAGTGTATTTCTCTCAATATTCATCGATTCTCTTTGAAATGTCGATATGTTGTAGATAAGGCAATTCTCTACAAGATCACTTTTCACTAAGTTTCATTTTAATGAGGTCATCATAGTACAAAATTCAGTTAAAGGCCACATGTCAGAATGTTCGTCATTTGCGTGTTATGTCTATGGAAGGTGAATTTCGTTCACATCATGAATCTACATGGCATTCATCTATGAGCACTATCTATCTTATGTGTGCTCTGTTTTCTCCCAAGTTGGGGTATGTTATAGCTGAGACCATGGGCTATAAAAAAGGGTGACTTTGTTTTTTAATCAGATGTTGGGATCATGTTAAAATTTTCGATCGAAAGTTGAAATTGCAAATTTTGAAGGAATCATTAGGTGATACGTAACGAAGTCAACGTATCACCTTTTGATTTCGTCAAGATTTTCTTTTTTTTTTTTATTATTATTCTTCCTCGAATTTGTTCGCAGGATATCTCAAGACTCAATAAAGCCATTGTTATGAATCTTTCACTGATGATAGGTCTTAGTCTAACTTAGAACTGCGTGACTTTTCAAAGACTCAAAGTCATCGTGACGTCATCCAGGCGCCATTTTGTAAAAATCAACTTATGATCATATCTTCATAACGGAAAGTAATTTTACATTCATATTTATCAAGATTAAGATCAATATCCGTCGGGTCAATTTGAGGTCAATAAATGCGCGCAAAAATCCGCGTACGCGTAGGCGCGCGCGTTAATGCGCGCGTAAAATTTTAAATTGCTCAAAATCGTCTTTAATTTTTTTTGCATACGTTTCAGGCCATTATAAGCATTTCATAAAAAATCACGCAAAACACGCATTTTTGCACGTTTTCGTTCGTCACGGCCGAACGAAAAATAATTTCTCCGCAAAAGCTTTTGACCGAATATTCCTCATATTTTTCCGGAAAATTTGATACCATGTTTAGCTCTTTATCACTATTAAAAACGGAATGAGCGTCCGTTCAAGATAACCGTCCGTACGCGCGATTTTTGTAATACATTGCATATATGGGCAAAAACATGCCTATGAAAAGTCCATTGGGATGAATAGGGATTGCCAATTTTTTTTTTCATATTTAGATAGAGTATGAGTCGGAGGTATGATTTCATATCTCATTTGGCCATTAAGTACATCTTTACGTCATCATAATGGCCTTGGAAGTCAAAAATACAAAATTGCATATTATGACGTCATTGTATTTATGGAAAATGTAGTGTATTTCTCTCAATATTCATCGATTCTCTTTGAAATGTCGATATGTTGTAGATAAGGCAATTCTCTACAAGATCACTTTTCACTAAGTTTCATTTTAATGAGGTCATCATAGTACAAAATTCAGTTAAAGGCCACATGTCAGAATGTTCGTCATTTGCGTGTTATGTCTATGGAAGGTGAATTTCGTTCACATCATGAATCTACATGGCATTCATCTATGAGCACTATCTATCTTATGTGTGCTCTGTTTTCTCCCAAGTTGGGGTATGTTATAGCTGAGACCATGGGCTATAAAAAAGGGTGACTTTGTTTTTTAATCAGATGTTGGGATCATGTTAAAATTTTCGATCGAAAGTTGAAATTGCAAATTTTGAAGGAATCATTAGGTGATACGTAACGAAGTCAACGTATCACCTTTTGATTTCGTCAAGATTTTTTTTTTTTTTTTTATTATTATTCTTCCTCGAATTTGTTCGCAGGATATCTCAAGACTCAATAAAGCCATTGTTATGAATCTTTCACTGATGATAGGTCTTAGTCTAACTTAGAACTGCGTGACTTTTCAAAGACTCAAAGTCATCGTGACGTCATCCAGGCGCCATTTTGTAAAAATCAACTTATGATCATATCTTCATAACGGAAAGTAATTTTACATTCATATTTATCAAGATTAAGATCAATATCCGTCGGGTCAATTTGAGGTCAATAAATGCGCGCAAAAATCCGCGTACGCGTAGGCGCGCGCGTTAATGCGCGCGTAAAATTTTAAATTGCTCAAAATCGTCTTTAATTTTTTTTGCATACGTTTCAGGCCATTATAAGCATTTCATAAAAAATCACGCAAAACACGCATTTTTGCACGTTTTCGTTCGTCACGGCCGAACGAAAAATAATTTCTCCGCAAAAGCTTTTGACCGAATATTCCTCATATTTTTCCGGAAAATTTGATACCATGTTTAGCTCTTTATCACTATTAAAAACGGAATGAGCGTCCGTTCAAGATAACCGTCCGTACGCGCGATTTTTGTAATACATTGCATATATGGGCAAAAACATGCCTATGAAAAGTCCATTGGGATGAATAGGGATTGCCAATTTTTTTTTTCATATTTAGATAGAGTATGAGTCGGAGGTATGATTTCATATCTCATTTGGCCATTAAGTACATCTTTACGTCATCATAATGGCCTTGGAAGTCAAAAATACAAAATTGCATATTATGACGTCATTGTATTTATGGAAAATGTAGTGTATTTCTCTCAATATTCATCGATTCTCTTTGAAATGTCGATATGTTGTAGATAAGGCAATTCTCTACAAGATCACTTTTCACTAAGTTTCATTTTAATGAGGTCATCATAGTACAAAATTCAGTTAAAGGCCACATGTCAGAATGTTCGTCATTTGCGTGTTATGTCTATGGAAGGTGAATTTCGTTCACATCATGAATCTACATGGCATTCATCTATGAGCACTATCTATCTTATGTGTGCTCTGTTTTCTCCCAAGTTGGGGTATGTTATAGCTGAGACCATGGGCTATAAAAAAGGGTGACTTTGTTTTTTAATCAGATGTTGGGATCATGTTAAAATTTTCGATCGAAAGTTGAAATTGCAAATTTTGAAGGAATCATTAGGTGATACGTAACGAAGTCAACGTATCACCTTTTGATTTCGTCAAGATTTTCTTTTTTTTTTTTATTATTATTCTTCCTCGAATTTGTTCGCAGGATATCTCAAGACTCAATAAAGCCATTGTTATGAATCTTTCACTGATGATAGGTCTTAGTCTAACTTAGAACTGCGTGACTTTTCAAAGACTCAAAGTCATCGTGACGTCATCCAGGCGCCATTTTGTAAAAATCAACTTATGATCATATCTTCATAACGGAAAGTAATTTTACATTCATATTTATCAAGATTAAGATCAATATCCGTCGGGTCAATTTGAGGTCAATAAATGCGCGCAAAAATCCGCGTACGCGTAGGCGCGCGCGTTAATGCGCGCGTAAAATTTTAAATTGCTCAAAATCGTCTTTAATTTTTTTTGCATACGTTTCAGGCCATTATAAGCATTTCATAAAAAATCACGCAAAACACGCATTTTTGCACGTTTTCGTTCGTCACGGCCGAACGAAAAATAATTTCTCCGCAAAAGCTTTTGACCGAATATTCCTCATATTTTTCCGGAAAATTTGATACCATGTTTAGCTCTTTATCACTATTAAAAACGGAATGAGCGTCCGTTCAAGATAACCGTCCGTACGCGCGATTTTTGTAATACATTGCATATATGGGCAAAAACATGCCTATGAAAAGTCCATTGGGATGAATAGGGATTGCCAATTTTTTTTTCATATTTAGATAGAGTATGAGTCGGAGGTATGATTTCATATCTCATTTGGCCATTAAGTACATCTTTACGTCATCATAATGGCCTTGGAAGTCAAAAATACAAAATTGCATATTATGACGTCATTGTATTTATGGAAAATGTAGTGTATTTCTCTCAATATTCATCGATTCTCTTTGAAATGTCGATATGTTGTAGATAAGGCAATTCTCTACAAGATCACTTTTCACTAAGTTTCATTTTAATGAGGTCATCATAGTACAAAATTCAGTTAAAGGCCACATGTCAGAATGTTCGTCATTTGCGTGTTATGTCTATGGAAGGTGAATTTCGTTCACATCATGAATCTACATGGCATTCATCTATGAGCACTATCTATCTTATGTGTGCTCTGTTTTCTCCCAAGTTGGGGTATGTTATAGCTGAGACCATGGGCTATAAAAAAGGGTGACTTTGTTTTTTAATCAGATGTTGGGATCATGTTAAAATTTTCGATCGAAAGTTGAAATTGCAAATTTTGAAGGAATCATTAGGTGATACGTAACGAAGTCAACGTATCACCTTTTGATTTCGTCAAGATTTTCTTTTTTTTTTTTATTATTATTCTTCCTCGAATTTGTTCGCAGGATATCTCAAGACTCAATAAAG